CGGAGCCCAGCAGGTCGAGGCTGCGGTGGCTGGGAGCAGCCACTGTACTCCAGTCTGGGTGACAGAATGAGACTCCAACTCAAAAAAAACCAAAAAAAAACAAAAACAAACAAGAAAAACATGTGCCAAAAATCAGTAATGTGAAGGGTAATGAAACTACCTTGGAAGGGCCTTGACTGCCACAGGAGATAGTTACAATTCTACTCAGAGGACAGGGGAGCCACTGCAGGTTCTGGAAGAGGCCAGTGTCACAAGAGGAGTTGAGCTGAGTGCAAGATGGACCAAAGTGGGAGTGACCCCTGGGATTATGTCCACAGTCCAGCAACCCAGGATGATAAAATCAACTCAGTGCACAAATTTCTTTCTGCTTATCAGTGAAGGTCACGCAAAGAAACAAGCTGGAGTGGTCAAAAGATGTTTCAAGGGAGGCAACCAGGAGGCCTTGGGAGAAAGGGCAGAAGAACGCCAAGTCGCCTGTGGACACCAAGAGCACAAGAGAGCACCAGAGCGTGCTGGAGCCAGGCTGCTCCCCACTCCACAGCTGACCAGGGAGAACAGTGCAGCGGGACCAGTGACAAAAGTGCTCTGGGTTCTGCTGAAGGACACTGGTTGCTCTGGGTCTCAGTGTCACGAGGGCACTGACCAGCCCACCTTCAAGGGCTTCCCTGCATGATTGCCGGAAGCAGTTGGAGGTTTCTGAGGTCCCCCCATAAGAGTCCCGCAGCCACCGTGGTTCTAGGCTGGGCACAGGGGTGAGGGGCCACAGGAGATATCTCCTGTCCCTGAAGAAGCAGGCAGGTTTGTAGGGGGAGCAGGAAAACAGGTGGGGATCCTACCACCTGAAAGACACCCAAGGTGCCCCCATCCACAGGTCTGCCCAGCCCCGCCTCCCCAATCCCCACTTGGATGGTCGAATCTGAACAGGCTGCAGCAGTAGGGAGCCAGGCCATTTTTCGTGCCATGTGCACCCCCTCCCATGAGACAGACCTCAGCAGTCAGACAGGAAGCCCTTTGTCCAGCCAGGATCCCTTTTCTCACGAGAACTTCCCCTTGCTGGAGGAGGGCTGGGCCTTTCTCAGGTTGTGGTGTAAAGCTGGGGTGGGAGCCACCCATGACTTGGGCTGCGCCCATGACCCCCACTGCCATCTCCTTAGGAGGGGCCCAGTCTAAGCCCCACTGGGAGACCAGCAAGGGACAGACTGGTCTGGCCTTACTCCCTCCACCTTGAGATGGAGGAGAGGGGAAATGCCAGGCAGGCCTCAGAGCCAGCAAGGAAGAGGCGCTTCCTTTATAGCACCCTGCCCTCAAAGCCATGCTCCTGACACCTGGAGGCAGCCCCAAAGTCCTTAGTCATTCAGCAAGTAGCAATGCTGCTCTCCAGGGTGATACCTTGACCTGAAGGCACACTGCCAGCTGGACCCGACTTGCCCCCAAGGTTCCAAAGTCCCCAGGCCCCGCTCTAGGAAGCATCCCCAACATCCCCGGAGAGAACCATCCAGCTCCACCAAGAATCAGAAGCTAGGGTTGCACACTGCTCCAGCAGTCACCCACTGTGTAGTCTCAGGAGAGCTTCTGATTCCTCAATTTCCCCACTT